ACACGATAAGGAGGTCGACAGTGGGCGTTCACAGTCGGAAAATGAAACATCTGTAGCTTAGATGCAAAGGGCACGAGCAAGTTGAGGAGACCCGAAATTACCGACTGGGCACAGTTAGACTCTCATCAACGAAGCGCCGCCAGGGCTCGTGAAACCTGAACCTTACCGAAAGGACGCCATTCTACTCAGGTGTTAATTTGATGATTCCACAGGATAATGCTGGCGTTCTGGCAGAACCCAAGCTGGATGACAGGGTCACTGCATGAAAGCCTTTCAGACAAGAGTGGCAATCCAACGACTGAAGCTACAACAGGCTAAAGCGTTGACCTCGCTGAAGGTCTATGCGCCCAGTTTCGAAGAAGAATATGACTCATTTCTTGAAGAAGTGGAGTGTGCTGTGTGCTCTGTCTGAAGTGCCGAATACAGAGTCCCTCATATTAATGGATGATTTCAATGCGCATGTCGAAGTAGACGCTGAAAAGTGGACAGGAGTGACTGGAAAGAACGGCTCAAGCAGCTAGAACAACAACGGGCATGAAGCTGCTGCGGCTATGTGCAAACATCGGACTGTTTATTATGAACACCTTCTTCGAGCATCAAAGCGTACATCAGTATACCCGGTATAGGAAAGCTTGTGCACAGAAGTCGATGATGAAGAGGGTTTGAGACCGTGGCGAAGATTCCGTAAACCTTAACCACCTGCTTTTCATGGTAGCGAGGTCATCGAAAATTATACCGGCGCTGTGGTCACTTGGGTTATAAAAGACCGCGCAAGCCGTTGGGGACTGACAACAGCTGAAAAGTCGGCGATCAGAACCTGCTCGTCTCCTTCTGGCAGCCAGTGGCGTAGTAGCACAGCAATGGCTAATAAAGATCGACAAATGACGACGAAATTACCAGTCAGCAAACAAGTCGCAACTCGCTCTGAACGGAAGAGGCAAACAGCGCGATGCCATTGTAGCACGTCAGAAAAGGCTCAACGAGAAGTGGGAGCCGGAAAGGAGCTTAGAGCCGTAAATTAGAATATATCCCTACTCAGAGGGAAAGGGCAAGAATTAACTGATGAGGCCACAGAGTACCTTCTCGACACGTTGGGCTCGCGTCAAGGAAGCGCCAAGGCTCTGGAATTCTGAACATGAGTGGGTGGAAGCTGTTCTATTCAGGTGTCGACATTACGGCGAAGGTTCAGGCCGGTGTTGGTTTTCTGGTAGAACCCAATCTGGCTGACAGAATCAATGAATGAAAGCCTGTCAGCGGAAGAGTGGCAATCCTCTGACTGAAGCTACAAGAGGCTTAAGTGTTTAACTTTGTTACAGGTCTACGCGCCTAATTTGGACGGAAAATGTGAGTCCTTCCATGAGAAACGGGAGATGCCCCGTATGAAATGCCGGATATAGAATCCCTCATTCTCATAGTCGATTTCAATGCGGATGTCGGAGTAGACGCTGAAAAGTGGATAGGTGTGATTGGAAAGAACAGAGCTAGCGATCTCAACAAAAAAGGCATAAAGTTGTTGCGGTTTTG